ACACACACACACACACACACACATACACACATACACATACACACACACACACACACACAGGTGAAGTGGAGGATGACGTGAACCTACAGATTTGTGGTCATAACGTGACCTGGCCATGACCTCAGTGTCTGCCTCCAAACCAGCAGAACACGACTGTAACCGTGACGACGGCACGTCCAATCAGCATTGAGTCATGAATCTGACATCAACGAGCACACGGACTCTCCTCTGACCTTTTCATGTCTAATAGACCTGAACACTGAAGTGCTTCACCTGCACTGACTGCCGGAGCCGTTTCTCCTTTGCTAAACGTTCATCTCTCAGAGCAGTTTCTCTGTGCCCTTTCGCTCTCCTTCAGAATCACTTATGACGCAAAGCACTGAAAACATACAAAGCCGCTTGTCAAACTGAACTAAGCGCTGTGTTTCTGTACAGTGACGGCCTCTGCTGTGGTTTAAAGCAGCCGTTCACACACACACTTACAGTGCGTCAAAGCATCTCAAAGCCATTTTCAATGAGAGCTGGTAATTCTATATATATATATACATACTAATTTTAGATTATAATATTATTTTGTTTATTATTTACGTATTTATTTACTTTTAGAAGTACATGATATTCTACAGTAATATTATCTGTGTCATAATTTCTTCAAGTTAAACCAATCTTTTATTTTGGCTGGTTGTTGTGAAGAGCTTTGAGTTTGACGATAGCTTTCTCAAATATTCACAAACAGTAGTCCATAGTGTGATGTGATGAAGTGTGCAGCCATACTGACTCACCGATTCACTGATTTACTGATTTATTCACCCAAATGTTGCCAAATTCTGTGACATTCCACATTACGCATTAAATTCCATTTTTATGACTGATTCCATGATTCTCTCCCTCTTTTCTGCATTGCAGGAGCCCTACAATTTTGCGAATATTATTTCAATTATTTTCAAAAGTTATGGTAATTTGTGCAGTTTATGATAACATTAATTCATGCAGCAGTTGGACGCAGATTATGACCAATAACACAGCCATAAAAGCACTGTATGTGTGTTATTATAGAGGCAGGCAGACTCATCTCATCTCATCTTTATAGAGGTACAGGATGAACATCAGGGAAAGACATTTATAAGCTGAACAGACCAAGATATTTATAACATGTTTGTTATAAGTTTGTCACCTCTAAGCAATCTCCACAGTGCATTACACAAGAAACCTGAAGTAAACAAGACAATACACTGCTCATGATTCAGAGAAAAAGAGAAATCATCAAACCGGGTTCAGACTCGCTTCACATCAGGCGATCGAAAGCTAACTCAAGAGCTCACCAGGCACATACTGACGGACTATGCCTCTTATTTATATATAAACACATCTTTGATTAACGCTCCATGGCTTTTCCATTAGTTTTCCACGTATTCAGTATTTTCGAGCAAACATAACCTACAAGAAACTTAAGTGACTAAAGAAAGTACGACTTCTCAGGACTTGTACAGTGCTGGATATCACAGCTGGAAATCAAAATTCCCTGATATTTCCAGATTTTTCACGACCATGAGAATAATAAACACATTAAATAACGACCCTTTAACCTGTTTATTCCTGCGAGGAAGTGGAGCGACGGGATCGTCTTACGGCTAATCTCTGGAGGAAAGGATCAATCCAGGTTAGTTTACAGCCGCCCGCCTGCTCACATCCACACGCCTTCACTTCACCGACACCAGCGCGCTCACGGGCGACACGCAACACCACTTTCAAGCATTTTTTTGGTTTTATGGCGGCACCCCGATGCAACACGTCTGAAATGGAAACGTGAATTCCCGTCATCTGATCGTGTAAAAGCGTATTCCTGAGGATCTGAACATCTGTAATCTCTACGGGACAATCGCTTTTCCACATGTCCCTGTCAAAGGACTGAAACACAACCGGGAGCCTGGTGACTGTGTTACACGGAGAGGGTAAACTGTGAAGGCAAACACTGAACGTCTGAGCTGTTTCTGAGTATCGGAGCTGGATCCGCAGACGCCGAGCTCCATAAAAGCCAGCGAGGTGTTTTCAGGAACGCTGGACTCAAGCCTCACTCATTTTCTGCTTCACTGGAAGCAAATGCTCAATTTGGACGGGAGCGCAAGAAAGAGGCTTAAATCTCACAGCAGCCCATTAACTCCATCTGAGCATATGTGCTTCATGAGTGCGAAAGCTCTTCAGCTGAACAGCACAATACAACCTCAACAGAGGAAGACTAACACACAGACGCCCGTTCAGATTATTCACCGCAATCTAGAGTAACAATAAAAAATAACATAATTAATAATAATAATAAAATACTCAGAAAACTATTTTAATATACTTATACAGGATTAATATACTTAATACTTAATGTACTAAACTGAATTAACATATTAATACACTTAAATGGTTAAATAAACAGTTAATAATAATAGTTACATAAATAGTTAATTTTCTTGTTCAGAATAAAGCAAAAAATAAAAAAGTATATATATAGGATTAATATACTTAATACTTAATGTACTAAACTGAATTAACATATTAATACACTTAAATGGTTAAATAAACAGTTAATAATAATAGTTACATAAATAGGTAATTTTCATAAAGCAAAAAATTAAAAAGTATATATATATATTATTATTTTTATTTTTTTTAATGTCTTATATATTTCCAAGGACTGAGTACTTTCTAGCTAATTAACTATTAAAATAAATATTTTTTAAAAATTAAATATATAATAATAAATAAATAATAAAATATTAAATAAATATAAATATTTTTTTAAAATCTGGGTTTTATATGACCATGAAAACTTTCTGAAGAAAAGACACAGTAAATATTATTTAAATAGTAATAATTATAATCTACTAAAATAAAGAGGGTTAACACATTTCTGGCTCAGAATAAAAATAAAAAAAGAGATGAAATAAAAAAAAAACCCCAGAAAGGCACAGGTGTGAGATATAAAGTCACACTGTAAAATGTAAAGTGACATTCTAAGACATAAAGTCAGATTTACAAGAAATCAAGCAGCAGTTATGAGAAATAAACTCACATTGTGAGATATGAAATTGCATTTCAAGATAGTCCAGAAAGCTCAACTGAACCTCTACAGGAGACACATGAGAGATTATTAGAGAAATGTAGGCCAACGTCTTCATTTTCTCTTCATTTAATCTCATTATAGACTATAAGTGAGATGTTAGAGATGTTGTGATTGGTTATTTCTCCTGCAGGCTCTGAGATCTGCGTGTGAGAACTGAACTGAACTGAACTGAACTGAACTGAACTGAACTGAACTGAACTGAACTGAACTGAACTGGTCTGGGGTCTGGAGGGACCTGTGGAGCGAGGCGGAACCCACCGTGCTGGAGCTGGTCGCAGGCTGAGGCTGTGGCGCTGAGTCCCGGAGAAGACGGAGCCTCCACCGCCTCCAACAGAGGAGGACCGGTGCTGAGCTGCCCGACCGGAGGAGGCCACGGCAGATCCTTAATGACTTTAATCTCTACTGCAGACAGAACCAGAGACAGAGAGACAGAGAGACAGAGGGAGGGCAGGAGAGACGGAGAGAGGAGCGTCAGTGAAGGCAGGATCAGGTCAGACAGTCACAGACTGGAAACAGGAAACAGGAAACAGGAAACAGGAAGGAACCAGGAAACAAACTGCGATGGAAAGCATTCAGGATTCTGCCTGTCAAACACAAACACCTACAGACCTCAGGATTCACCCTAGAAAACCACTGCACCACTAATGATCAAACTCTGCTGTTTCACACACAGTCTCCTGAGTTTGAAGCTCTTTCAGTGTAACTGTACAAACGTCCAGCTTCAGCTGGAGCTTCTCGTGTTAAATCTGGACTGATTTTGATCAAGTAAAGGTCAGAATAACTGCAGTAATATCTCCAGATGAACACTTACTGGACTGAAGCAGCTCAGCTTTACTTGATTCTCCATCAATCATGTTTTAGAGTCTCAAATCTGATCCTCAGGATCTTTTGAGGAGCGTTTGTTTCCAGAAGCTTTACTTTCACTGTTCCTCAGCGGAGGAATGATCTTCACAAGCCTCCAGAACATCTCACATCTTCTGAGGAGCCTTTATTTCTTCAGCTCTCAATCACTGCATTATATGTTTGGAGCATTTCACTCTCGTCATACTGAGACAGATTACTGCAGATATAGAGACGACTGATATTTAAATCATTTTATGTCAGCATCTGCTGTACTGTTAGAAAGATCTCATTGAGTTACTTTACAAGCATCAGAATATAATCATATAAATATATTAGGATCTGCACCAAATTGCATGTAGCTTCAGCTGGAGCTTCTCGTGTCAAATCTTGACTGGTTTTGATCAAGTAAGCGTCAGAATAACGTCAGTAATATCTCCAGATGAACACTTACTGGACTGAAGCAGCTCAGCTTTACTTGATTCTCCATCAATCATGTTTTAGAGTCTCAAATCTGATCCTCAGGATCTTTTGAGGAGCGTTTGTTTCCAGAAGCTTTACTTTCACTGTTCCTCAGCGGAGGAATGATCTTCACAAGCCTCCAGAACATCTCACATCTTCTGAGGAGCCTTTATTTCTTCAGCTCTCAATCACTGCATTATATGTTTGGAGCATTTCACTCTCATCTTACTGAGACAGATTACTGCAGATATAGAGCCACGACTGATATTTATAGCATTTTATGTCAGTATCTGCTGTACTGTTAGAAAGATCTCATTGAGTTACATTACAAGCATCAGAATTTAATCATATAAATATCAGCATCTGCACCAAACTGCATATTTTTGCAGTCTCTGATTAAAATTGAGCTGTTTTTCCTCCATATGCTCATTGTATATGAGCTATAAAAGCCTGATGGATCAAATATGATACACAAAAAAGCACATATGCAAACTAGCGCAACAAGTCGACTCCTAGGAAAGACAGTCAGAAGTCTGTGGGATTCAGATGATTTTTTTCCCAGATTACACGGTTCATTAGAAGTACACACACACTGTAGCACCTCCGTATTCTGCTTTCATTACAGACGTGTCAGATCGTGTCTGGTGTGTTATTCAAAGACAATAAACGGTGTCTCCTACAGCATGAAGCAATACTTTCTCTTTCTCTCTCTATTAATGAAGCTTTGCTGGATGTAATCGTGCCCAGGCGCACCCATCCGGTGACAGCAAATCTATTCTCAGGAACATCCCACTCATTTACCAGAGAAGCGCATCCATATCACAACAGCACTGAGAGCACGTGAGGCTCTGCGGAGGCTGGTTTTACACCCCTTGGGCCGCATTTCTGGGTAAATAGTGTTATAATAGCTAGAAATTAAATTGCACATTTCACAGAGTGAAAGAAACGCAGACCAAAGTCACAAAGCCCTCGTCTAGAGATGAGAAAACCTTCATCCAGCTGGGCTCCATTCACAAACCAAAAACCTGATTACTAAAAAAACAAGGATGCACAATATTAAAAATCTGGCTGATACCAATTAATTATTTTGAATGTTATGGTCAATAACCACAACATGAACTGAGCTGCAAAGCATTAAACTGACTTATTGAGACACTACTGCTTTTTTAGAGCTGCTCTGAAGCAGAATATGAATATTGTCTCAAAAACAATAAAGTTTGCATCATCGATTCTGTTATCTTACTGCGTTTCACTGTAAAGCTGATTTGAAACAAACTGTATTGTATAAAGCGCCATAGAAATAAATGTGATATGATAACTAAAAAATGCCTGGAAATAAAATTATATAACATTTTGACTAAATCAATTAAAAACACTAAAAACATAAATCAGTCATGTTTAATGCCACAAGCGAATTTAGGCATCTCAATATGATAATATACTATATGAAAAAATGCATATTCATTCTGAGGTTTGCTAAAGATTTAAAGATAAAGATTTAAGTGTTATTAAAATATTTAAGTGTTTTTAAAGATTAATTTAAGTGAGTGTTAGATGAGGACAAAGGTGATCAAAATGTAAAAAAAAAACAGAAAAGGAGCACAAACTATTAAATATTCCAGATTGACTGATACTGATAAATAAAAAAATATATTTGGTAGCACTTAAAGCCTTTATGTATAATGCATAATAACGCTATTCATAATGTATTATATCTTTTCATAAATAATTGTATCCAAAGTGAACATGCATTATAATATTTGAAGGTCTGTTTGTCGTGTGTTTTAATGCATTATGCTTTCTAAAAGTGTAACAATGAATAGATAAGTGTTATAATGTATTATAACTGCGGTTACAATTATTCATGAGATTATACAAAGCATTACAATGCATAATTAATGCATTAAAACTTATTTTATAATGCATTATATATAACGTTTTAAGTAAAGTGTTACCATATATTTTAACAAAATATTGTGCATTTCTATAAAAACAACACTGAAGGACAGAGATTACAGGAAATGTAACTATATCATGTCATTACCATGTTATTACCATGTTATCACCATGTTATCATTATGTTATCATCATGTTATCATCATGTCATTAACATGTTATTATTATGTTATCATCATGTCATTACCATGTTATTACCATGTTATCACCATGTTATCATTATGTTATCATCATGTTATCATCATGTCATTACCATGTTATTATTATGTTATCATCATGTTATTACCATGTTTAATGCATTATATATAACGTTTTAAGTAAAGTGTTACCATATATTTTAACAAAATATTGTGCATTTCTATAAAAACAACACTGAAGGACAGAGATTACAGGAAATGTAACTATATCATGTCATTACCATGTTATTACCATGTTATCACCATGTTATCATTATGTTATCATTATGTTATCATCATGTTATCATCATGTCATTACCATGTTATTACCATGTTATCACCATGTTATCATTATGTTATCATCATGTTATCATCATGTCATTAACATGTTATTATTATGTTATCATCATGTCATTACCATGTTATTACCATGTTATCACCATGTTATCATTATGTTATCATCATGTTATCATCATGTCATTACCATGTTATTACCATGTTATCACCATGTTATCATTATGTTATCATTATGTTATCATCATGTTATCATCATGTCATTACCATGTTATTACCATGTTAGTTCAATGTACTAAAAAAGCTACTGTTCGATTCTTCTTCAGCATAGCTTGACATGTAGACAGAAATTCAGTAGACAGAAATGTGGCTGTGGTGTCTATGCGCAAACACCTTTGTGATTATTAATAAAAAATTAGAAACTAATTATCCTATACTGACTGATACTGGTAAATTAAAAATATATTTCACCAACATATCGTGCATCCCCATAAAGCACACAGAAACAACACTAAAGGACAGAAATGACCGGAAACGATACTATTATCATGTTATTACTGTGTTAGTACCATGTTATTAACATGGAAGTTCAAAGTACTTTAAAGAAAAGTATTGCAAAACTATACTGCTAATGGCCAAGGTATTTCGAAGGAGTTACAGTTTAGTAATTATTTTGTTAGCACATCTGTGTATTTGACTGTAATTTAACTTCAGCAGATGCGTGCATGAGTGTATTTGCGTTCAGTAATTCCTTCGCAACATTAGTCGCTGTGTATTAGTGCAGCTTCTTGCATCTCGACTCTTTGCAGTGACCGGTTCTGTCCATGAACTAACTTTGCTGTGCCAGTTAATTAAAAACGGCACAGAGCGAGTCGGTGTACACTAGGAGTTAGAAATGAGACGTCGCTGTCACTTAAGCCCCGAGCCGCATCTATTTATTAATGAAACAAGCAACAAATCCCTTCATTCTGCTCTCTGTGCATCGTCTCGCTGTCGGTGCGCTGACAGAAACAGCTCGATCCAAAACAAACAGCACACACAAACAAAAGCTCCTCCAGAGGACGGATGGATCTCTGAAATACAAAGCAAACACACTTGTGATTCATTTGGCATCGGATGCTTTCAGCGCTTGACAGGCGAACCACCCGAGCTGTCTGCGCATCCAAAGTAGAGCTGGCGGTTTGTTGACTGCGCTGTCTCGTTTCACGAGCCGATAAACGCACTCGGTTATGAACTCGCCCTTGTTTTTGACTCCTGAGGGCTCTACGTGAGCAACTTCTAGATAAAGCATTAAGCAGGAATCTCGACTAGCACTTGTGATATGATGGCGGTTGACAGAGTCGCTATTATCCGCCGGCGTTTGGCTGAACAGAGCCGATCTAGCGAGGTCAGCCTCTTTGACAGCTCATATAATAGCTTCCTCCGCGGCGGGTGAAGCGAAGGCCTGCCAGCAGCCTGATTAAACAGCTAATTCTCATTGGGTGCCGCAGATTAGTGTGTAATTGTTTTGGGAGAGCGGAGCTTCGCCTCTCTCTTCGCACCGGTCGCACGCATTCGCTGCCACCCAGATAAGATGCACTGTGTATATGGGCTCTTCCGCACTGAAGGTGAACTCGGTTGAGAGGCTGTAACGCTTCTTGTGTTAAGCCAAAAAGCTGTTTGCATGTTCAGGCG